TCCCTACTGGTCTCCATGCATTTCTTATAGTACTAGTTGGAAGAGTTTGATGATGTATCCACCCTTCAAGCTCTGATGGAGACATGAAAATGACTCTTCATTCAGTACTGTTTTTGTTTTACCAGCTGGGAGAATTCAGATTTGCTTCATGGTTGGGATTTTTTTTCTGTTATTGCATTTACATGATTGCATGTGTGCTTAACTTTAAGGTCATCACGTGACCCAGTTGAGGATCAGCTTGACACCCTTACCAACATGCTTGAAGATGCCCTTAAAACAGGGAGCCATGATAGCTTACCAGGCAAAAGTGCTGAAGAGAGTGCGTCCAGCTCGCAGAGCAGTTTTATTGACCATGGTTCAACAGAAGGTAATGAACCAAGTCATTTGCAGACGTTTAGAACACGGTTCAGGAGTGATTCTGGAAATGAGTCCCTGTCGTCTGATGTTAGCCCGACTCCACCCCTAGAAGGTACACTGCAGTAAGCAATGATGAGGACTTGAAAGAGATTTCTACCTTTAGCTTTCTTTCCCTTTGTTATCTCTTTCTTTAAAGGCTGCATTAGTGTATAGGATCATCCAAAAGGTCAAACAGATCTCTCTTCACACTCTTCTTCAATATTAGATATCTTCTAAGGGATACGATAACTTATACCATCAGCAAACAAATATTGATAACAATTTTTAGTCATGATTTATATAGCTGTTAGCAAATGGAATTGAACTGTGCACATTTTGTTGCTGTACATGTAAAACAAAGTCATCTTTCTTGTTCATACAGTGGAACCCTGTTTATACGGTCACCAATGGGCCATGAAAATTTGGCCATATTAATGGGGTGGCTGTATTAATGGGTTAGGGTCAAATTTCATGACTGGTCTAAATTGAGTTACATCTTAACAGATACATCACAATGGCAATTCTAGACAACTTTTCTTTAATAAGTATTGGAATTTATACATAAATCTTTAAAAGATTGAAACTTCAATCAGTACATACACTATTAACAATGGGAAGATGAACGTAACTGGTTTGAGTGGCTGTATAATCCCGGTAGAATTATAAAGGCTAATGCAGGTTGGGATTTCAGAATGTGGCTGTTGGCCACATTAATAGGGTGTTCTTTTAAGAAAATGTAAGGGCATTTTGCCAGGACAAAAACAAGGGGCTGTAATGACAAGCTGACTGTACTAACAAGGTGACGGCAAGGCTGGGTTCCACTGTACTCTCTTTTCTGTTCTTCACTTTTGCTTTCATTTCATTTTGCTGGTCATTGCTTTCTTCTGCATTTGTTGTGTTCATTGCACTTATTTATCATTTGAATTTCAGTGTATGCATTCATGTTTACAAGCCTTTTACATGTTCAGATAATGGAAGCACAGTTGGATGAAACATCCAATTTTTCCTCATTTACTTAGAAAGCCACCTCTAACATTAATGTTCGCCATAAGCCCAGAACTTAAAAAAAGCCACCATATGCATGGCAAATCAGAATAACATTCAGCAAGTGTAATTTTTGTTCCACTGTTCATGATGCAGACTGTTAAAGAACTGGGAATTATTTAGTGATAATTATTAGTATAAAAAGTTATAAAAACTGACATTACCCTACATCCACAGGTAAACCCAAACATGTACCTGCCCCACCCCCCAGAGCATCTAGTTCCAGAGAATCTTCTTTGAAATACAGTCAGACACTTCAAAGAGAACACGCCCCTAGAGCAACTAAGCGAGACATCAGTGTACAGTATCAGACGCAGACACTTCCACTTCCGTCATCAAAACCAAGACAATGGTCATTGGACAGTCCCACACCTTTGTCATCAAACAGTTCAGCCTCTTCTGGCAGCCATGCCTCGGTCAAATATGAAGGTTGGGATTTCAAAGTTTTTGATGAATCATGAAGTTGGTCAAAATAATTAAACAGAATTATTGTTAGAATTTTGTTGTGCAACTTTTGGTCAACACTGCTCATCAAGTGATTCAACAAAGTCTGTGAATGTCTTAAAGGAAATTAGGAACATGTTATGTAGCTACAGATCTTCAAACAGGTTTGGGTCATGCAAAAGGTAATGGAAACATTACAGGAGAGAACAGGCTCTTGAAGCTTTTTGTTGTGTTATAGAGTTATGGGGCTATTAGATTATAAAGCCCTGGCCAAACAATAGCAGCATTTCAACGCAACATAAGCAACATGCTGCGCATGTTTGGCCACCCTGTTGTGACATGTTGGGTGTTGTTGGCTCAAATTCGACCACACCCAACATGTCACAACAGGGTGGCCAAAAGCACTCGACATGTTGCGATGTGTTACATTGAAATGTTGTGATCATTTGGCCTTGGCTTAAGAATAACAGAAACCAGCTGTGACTGAGAAATACTTGTGAAGAAGCATCTGTTTTTTCATCTTTTTTATTTTCCTGTTGCATCATGCCATTTAATGAAATAATACTACATTTTGTTTGCAGGTCGTGTTAAGGACAAGAGAGCTCTTGAGGTACGAGCATCAACACTCCGTGGAGACATGAGGATGCTGAGAGCTGAGCTTAGTCAGCTGAAACAGTTCCAGACATTCCAAGCGCAACAGTTTGAAGAAATGATGAGACATGCAAAGGAACAGATTGTACAACGTGTTGCACAGATAAGCAATGGTAATCATGTGTGTCTTAATCCACTTTTGTAACCATGTTATGTTGATTTTCAATCGCTTGTTTCAAATATTTGCTTTTTTGCAATGAAAATATTGTTATCTTCCAATTAAACTGAAGATCTGGAAATAATATGGAGCTTTATACACACTGCAACTTCTGGCCCTGATATTTTAAAAGAAAGATTTCACTGCATATTTAGCTTTTAAAAGAGAATAAAATGGCTCAAGGGAACTTACAGTTTAGGACAAATAAGTCTGATGATGGAAGAAATTTAAAGCTAACAATTTTTTTTTGTGGTAGTTACAGAGTGATCTTTAGTAAATGGTTTGAACCCAGAAGTATCAGTAGTTCATATAGTGTGATCGTCCAGGTGAGGGTAGTTCTGTAAAAGAACTGTTGTTGGTGAGTGACATTTCGACAATTGAGCAGAAGTCATCTCGGAAGGTTGTCGAAACGTCAGTCACCAACAACAGTTCTTTTCAGAACTACCCTCACCCCAACGATCACACTATACAAAGAATGATCTTTCCTCGGCTTGTATTGGTTTATTAGCCAATGATTATCACAAACTACTACATTCAAATTCATGCAACTTAATGTTGGCCCTCAGGAAATTGCAACAGTGAATTGTGCAGAAGTTGTAATAATTGTTTTAATATTGGCCATTTGTGTTCTTTTTAGCTGATGATACTGCTCTGAAGTCTGGGAGACGGAAAGTCCAAATGGAGGAAATGACTTACATTCGAGGAAAGAACGATATAAACAGGCATATAAGGTATGGTAACAATAACTGCTCGAGTTCAAAAAGTGATCAAAATTAAATTTCTCTTGGCAATATCCAATACCTTGTTAAGCAGATAGCAGACGAGAATTAAGAAAAGTATCTAGTAGGGGAAATAATTAATTGTCTTTTATGCACAATCAAATTCTTAAGGTAACATTAAAAGAAATTTATAGCAGTTGGTAAGGAGAATTGCTTCTTTGAGCTTAGAACTGAAAGGTTTCATATCTTTCAGCTGTACAATTAATATGGCTCTTACTGTACTTTGCTCACATCTGTTTCAGTGAACTGGAAAGCGAAGTGGAGATGGTTCGGTTGGATGTTGTTCAAAAGAGATGTATTGGCAATCCTGCTGAAGTGGACAGTCTTAACAGTCAGCTGTCAATCATAAGTCGTCAAGTCTCTGATTTAAAGAGTAAGTCATCTTGAAGTTTCACTATTTTATTCATAGACGTGCAAAAACAATAATTATTTTGTATTTCCTTGCAATAAGATAATTTTCTTTCTTTCAGGTGAATTTGCTGAGCTCCATGACAACATGAAATCTATCATGGCTTCAGAGTTGGAGGTTATTGTCCAGGGAGATAAGTAAGTGTATATGGCTGTTATTTATGATGGCGTTAAAAAGTTGGGTTTGAAATGTTCAGCCAAACACAAACACCCTTGGGACCAAAAAAAGTGTCCATTTTTGAGAGGTGTCCACTTAAGGGAGGTTAAAAATACAGTGTTTGTTTTTATGTGGCTGAGATGATTACTAAGTGTCTGCTTACAGGAGATGTCCATTTACAGAGGTTCCACTGTACTAAAAGATCGCAATGTTACCTGGTAGTCTTGATTTCTGCACTTGAAAATCTGCCCATTATTGTAACACATATTTTCCTTCAGGTTTTTGAAAGAAGAACCTTCTAAACTGGAAAACCTGGTTAGCAGGTGTAAACACATAACTGGGACATTGTTTACATTGCAAAAGTAAGAAATAATATTTTCAAGTTATGTTTACGTTTAACATTGAATTCTTGTAGTAATATTTACATGTACGTATTCATAATTAAAGTGACAATGATGTAACTTAGAAACTCTTTCTTTTTGACATTAAAAAAAAAGCAACATCATGTTGGAACCACTGTCTCATGGTAGCTTTGCATTTCTCTTTGTCTAGCCACATTTGTTTGCTAATCACTGTTCATAATTATATCAACTCCTCCAGTTTGTTCAAATGAAGAAATATTGCTGATCTTCTTTCTCAAACTCATTCATAATTCATCAAGTTTAAACAAAAGAACTCATGACCGTGACAGTGTTTGGATGTCTGATCTTAAATAACATAGATTTTTACAATTTTGTTTCTCTGTGTTCTCCTTAGTTTTATTTTTAATTGAGAAGATATATCAAATACTCAAGACAGTGTTTGTCCACATTTCCAAACACCTCGAAGTTGATCAAAAATATGCTGCTGCACATCATATTTTCAACTCTCTTCTTGGTGTTTGGAATTGTGGTCAAACACAGTGTTTTGTGTTTGACTGATAGACTATATACTTCACAGTTTCTGTACATTGCAATAGCTTACTCTGCAGTTAGATCAAATGTTTGGCAATGCATTGGCAAACATGTGGACCAATGCATATGTGTATCCCACAGAGTTGTTTAAATGTTGCTTTTGTTTTTGGTTAGTCATTGCAGGTGTATCATGTTGTGTTGGTGAACTGCTTTGTTTCAGGGAAGTCTGACTAGAACCTCACCTGATTTATGTTTTCATTCGTTGTTGTACATGTAGGTTAGTATCTGCTCAGCAACAAATGAAGAGTGAAAGTGAAGCTTCATTCAGCTCTCTAGAGGTTTGCAAATCTTGATTACTTTATTTTTTTCCCCTCCTAAACAGGAAAGTCGTTAAAAAGAAATTTACTAACTGCTTTAAGAAATATTTAAGGGAGTCTTCTAACTATGAATTTAAGGTATATGGAGATAGAGACAAGGTAATTCAGAGGGGACAATTAAATGCTGCCAGAGATGAAAAGCTTGTTGAATGTTTAGAGGCCAGGATTAACATTTGGGCAGTAATATCCCAATAGTTTGGTTACAAAATGTTTTTAACATGAGATGATTCTTGTGACGACTGGGACTGATGTTTTATTACATGCAGCAGGAGAAAAGTTAAAGAAAAATACCACTTGGATTAAAAGGATTGTAAAACAGTGACAACTTGTGAAGAAACTTTTACTGATGTAGTGCAATTCATTAATACCTTATGATATAAATTACTATTTTGCCTTTGCAGGATGTTGATAAAGATGTGATTGATAGTATACGCTCGGTCCAAAGAGATTATATTCCAAAAAGAACTGCAGACCATTATACTGAGGTATGATTTGCTGATTTTTTGATGTTCTGCGACTGCTAAGCTTACATTGATGATTATTGTTGAGTCAGAAGCCGAGGGAGCTCAAGGAAGTAGTCCTTATGGAGGGAATTAAACGGTGTGGTGGGGAGGAGGGTGGAGGATACAGTTAAATATCAAGTCAGTACTTAGGTAGTTTTAGCTTTTACGTCTGTGGATGAAACCTTTTGTGGGACCATTAATCAGCAGTACTTTAAATATTAAACACTGCTACATGTCACATCTTATATGAAGCACGAGGCAGTGTTTCATAACATTTCAAGACACAGAGAAGAGAGCTGAAATTGCAGGGTAAACCAGAACATTTTCAGACCAAAATATTCAAAGTGTTTGGAAATGTAATAAAACACTCTTATGATTACTTGATATATTTTTTTCTGTTGAAATATGAAACATGTCGATATCCAGGAAAAATAAATTCATAAATGAGGGGTTACATAGAATTCTAGTGAGACAGGGCTTTGAGCATTGCAGCATAACATCAGTCCTGCGATCTTTAGTCTTTGATACTCACTATGTCAATTCTTTTAATTTTGAAGGAACCAGTTAGGTCATCACCAGGCAGGGGTCGTCCAAGAGTTCGCTTCTATGATGAAGTGACCCAGCTTCCATGAATTGCAGAAAAATGCTGATTAGAACAATTCTGAAATGGGCACAATGGTCACAAGACTCAGAAACCCAGGAAGCAGAAGTACTGCGGTTCCATTCCATCATGAAATGAGATCACAGATCAAATTAGGAACAGAACTTCTTTCCTCAAGGTCACATACCCTTTATCAGGTTGCGGCAAATTAGAAAAAGGAATCTTTTGTTCTTGGTGAAATACCACAGATGTGTGATATTGTTAGATTTTGTAGTTACAGTATCTCTTTTTACAGATTTTAATCATACTAAGGCTTTTTTTGGGTGCTGTCTCAATGCAGTGGATTTTATTTTTGATTACATTTGTAAGGCTTAGAGGCTTCTAGAGAGCAGCATCAATCATTCTCATTTAAAGTTACACTGATTGATATAAATAATTAAATAACATAACATCTTAAGCCCAGTTCAAAATCTCAAGCCTGTGAATGAACTTTACTACGCATAGTGCAACTACTTTGCATAACATGAAAAAGTGACAGTCTAATCAATTTACATTGGTAAATTTTGAAGTAGTATTATGTGTGATTCAACTTTTATATGACTCTGGCTGAAACATTCACTTTAACCTCATGCGCATGTGTTTGCAACCAGTCCCAAAAGATTCATGACAAATAAAAACATCCTGACAGCCACGTTGGATGACACAAACAAAAGAAGCCAGTTAGAAATTGTTTGATATTGTAAATGTCATCCAAATATGGGGCAATGACATCATGTGGAAACCAAAAATTTGTACTATTTTTCTATGGTAATTAATTTCCATTGATCAATTTTCTATAATCAACCTAGTGTGTCACTTAGCTCACATGTAATTTAAGGCATGGCAGTTCTTCAGAAACTTATTGCTTTGTTCATACCCACAAGAGTTCTTTTTTGATTAACGATGTTTTAACATTTGGACTGGGCTGAGAGAAACAAAATTCATTGACATTTAAGGTCCCAGGCCAAGTCAAATTTCTCCTAATTACTCTCATCAAGAGAATTAAGTTTTCAATCACGACAGCTTTTGCTGTGAAGAACGGGTTCTTCATTATAATTGATCACACAGAGTATCGATGATGATATGTCCAAATCATGATTGTTTTGGTCAGTACCAAGAATCGCGACCTCTGGGTGGGTCCAACAGCTGAAGTCCTCAATATCCAGACTTCCTATCAAATCTGACAAATCTGATTAGTTGAGAGCACAAAACAAGTACTCTGCACTAGCTAAAAAATATCAGACATGGCTAGAGCTCAGGATTCTTTATTCTGACCAAAAGGATCACAGCCTGGGTGGAACAAGGACGGTTGCTACTGGTAATCCAGACAAGTCATTATGATATTGATTTTTGGTACAGTTTCAAAATTAACATAGCTTTCATAGTGCTGCCATTGCAATGACACAAACTGTCACCTTGCTCTCTTCAAATGTGACTCTACAACTATAACAGCTTTTTTTACGATTTTACTTCTATAGAACTTTTTTACATAATATTTCCAAGAACATAGAAGTGTTGGTATGCAGTTTTCATGCTGTAACTGAATACCAGCCATTAAATTTTAATATAAAGTTCTCAGAATTGTGACTCACTCATCTCCATTATTTGAAATATCCTTTCCCGTTTCACTGTTAATGTCTAAAATTTCTGGAAAAAAAGTTATCATTAAGGTTAATGGATTACACGTATGTACCTTGATGTGATATTGCCTTATCAGATAGGTATTTAAGTATTTGTAAAGATATTGTTTTATGGCTTTGAATTTTGTCATGGCTTATTTTACTTGTACTTAAATCTGCTTTGTAGCAGAATTTAGTCTAGTAGGGGAGGGGTCCTGGGTGGGGCTGGGAGGGTAGGGAATAGATATTCCTAGAGGAGACGAAGGGAAGAAACCTTGTTGTCTAGCAGTGGTTGATGAATTGTAGTTTTTAAAGAATAATAAATAAATGTACAAAATATTGTGAACAAAATATGCCATAGTTTTCTATTTCATTGTCTTAAGTAGATTTATGGTAAAAATATAACATAATTGATACTATCCTTTTTATCCGGTGAATGTCTATAAGTCAATGTACAATGCATAACAGTTAACACAAATAATAACTTACTAAAGTTTCATAATCTTAAAATTTTCACAAATTTAATATTTGTGGTATAAAATATACTGTACTAACACTCCACATTACTAAATATTCCGATGATAAGGTACAAAGCCATGGTTTTGAAACTTTGCCTGAAATGTCATTACATGTTGACTTCTTATATCTTATATGTACTTATACCTTTGAGAGGTCCTGGAGTTAATTATGGGTGCAAATGATTTGTTTTAATATCAATGATGCCCAATTTTAATTATTAGAATTGTGATATTTAATACTTTTATATGTAGCCAATATTATATGCCCACTTTTACCACAGGAATGCAATTGCTGTGCTGTTCAGGTAATATTTTCTCAGGTAAAATGATTGTTGTTTTGCCCATATGTTTTTTTTTGCAGTCAGATTTTGTTGGATTTTTTGGTTATTTCATTGAATTGCTAATAATAATGCCCATAATTGTAATATACACGGTAATTATAGCAATTTAGGAAGAATTAATCGTAGCATTATTTTATTGGTTTGATTGTTTTTTTTTTCTTAGCCAATACAATTAATTTCCAGTAGACACTAAGGCTGGACTCTTAGTTTTGTTGGACTTTGTAACAGCTTGTGGAGGAACTTTCTAAAGTTATCCTTATGGTTCATAAAAAGCTATATTAAGTGGTATTATACAATTTTTAAAAAGCATTGATTTGTTACCAAAATGGGAATGTAAGTTTTGTGGCAGATAAACATTTAAACTTAACCCTATGATTAAATTATAAATTCTGCAAGGCTAAATCAGGGGCAAAGGTTAATTTCTGATCACCTGGAAAGCTTAAGTATAATTAATTTTGATCTAATGCTATCCATGGTAACAATGTGTCACTAAATGAAAGTTTCAAATTTTAAACCCATATACCTATTTGGACTAATTTTCCAATGTGAAAACTTTGTAATTAAATAAAATAACTTCCCTTTGTTTGAAATAGTGGTAAACAGCAAATAACTATTATGTGATCATTCATTAAGTCAGTTGAATAAAAATATAGTTTAAAACCAACAATTTTAAAAGTTGTTCAAATGTTTGATCTACCAACCCACGGAAGCAAATGTGTTTTCTTTTTCTAATTCCTTTGCCCAACAAAATTGTGATAAAAAATTAATGCAGGTGAAGTTTAATAAATTGTATGAGACTTTCCGTCTGTAAAATTATTTAAAATTGCAGTTTGGTTTTGAACGGTGTTTTGCAGGACTAATAGACCCTTTGCATAAATGGCCATTAGAATTTGAATAACGATATTTATAAATCCCAGGCCTCACATTCATGTGAAAAATCCTTTGCCTAGAAACATAGTAAGGATGTATAAAGTATTGTTATTCAAATTTAGGCGCCACTTATGCAATAGGTCTGTGGCCAAATGTTGTCACAACTTCGTTTCCAGGACTTTACCCTTGAAGTCCAAACATCAAAGAGAGAGGGCCCGGGAACAAGGTTGGGTTGCATGTTGGCCAATGAAATGCGTGACTTAAAAACTACCGATTGAAAGGTTATGCGTGCTCGTCACTCACAAATTAATCTGTAATAAGTTATATTCTATTTTGTTGCTGAGTTCAGGGTTGTCTTGCTGCTGGCTTGTTATTGTCGATTAAAATCGTTTTGTTGCTGGCCGGTCTTAGAGGTCACTGTCAGCGCTGTGTCAAAGCTTTTTTTGTCGTCCGTTTGTCTCTTAATATAAGTCAGTTAAACAGGTTCTCTTTACCGCGGAAAATTTCTTTGTTTTGAAGTGGTCTGTTGGCAGACTACGTATTTTTCTTTCGTTTTGCAGTTTACCGTGTTGCAAAGGTTGTATTTCAAATCAAAACGATGCAAACAAACAAACAAACAGTGAATGCAGGCACACGAGAAACAATTTACTCCATTACCTCGCCCCCTTCCCGCCCTCGTTCTATATTTCGTCCCAGAGCCAGAGCTATCTTCGGTGTTTACAGTCGTTTCATGAGGAAACGACTGCTGCTGCTATTGCTACTAAGCAAGCGAAAGCGCTTTCGCTGCAATTTCGTCATTTTGTTTATTTCTCGCTTTTCGTTCTTTTGTTTCTTGTTGCTTTCTACGTACCCTACCCTCCCCCACTTCCTCTCCATTTGCTCAAATTGCTACGCAATCACGTGGCCATTGTTTTCCTCCAACTGTCATCCAATCAGAGACAATCTTTAGAAGTCACGTGTTTGATGAATGACAACAAATCGAGGTTGAAAACACACCAACTCGTATCATCAACCCCAGTTGTTCGACGAGTGAAGAGGACGAAGGCAGTATAGCGGCCAAAGTTGTGGCCTAAAAACGCTTATATTTTCCCGATCGTGGGCGGAAAGGACCGTTCATTCGCCCAATATACTAACTTTCTGTTGGGAAGCCATCTCAATCGGAGAGGAAACTATTAGTTCCAGGTTCAATGACCGAACAACTTGATTCTTCGTCATCTGTTCCGACCGACGGGAGTCGGGAGAATATGGAGCAAGACGGCAGTGAGGGGGACGACGAACGCACTAGCGGACAGAGCGGAGGAGAAGCAGGCGATGGAGCATCTTTAGCGGAGAAAGAAGATGCTCAACAGAGTGAAAGCTGTGTCCCGGTCACAACAGCAACGCGATCGGTCGCGGACTGGAAACCTTTGCCCGTTCGGAAAAAACACCGTCGCGGGTCGAGGCGGAATCAAAACAGACCCGGGAAAAGATACGTTCCTTATTCCAAACTTTCGTGGGAAGAGAAAAAGCAGCGAGACGAGAGAGACACAAAGCGAGCCTTTAAACTCCGAGAACAAATAAATGCTAAGGGGCGACCCACCGCGCCTTACAACACTACTCAGTTTTTGATGGCCGAACACGATTTAGCGGAGCCAGATTTGGGTTCACATGTTCATATGCAATCGGATGGCGAAGAAACTCCTTTGAGGAGTAGGGTACCGTCTAACTCCTGCGACGATTCGGATTTCGATGATGACTACAATGAATCCCCCGAAGACGAAATTTACGAGCAGCAGTTCTTCGAGAAAGACTTCACGGAGGCCTACGAGCAAGTTCATGTAGAGAACTTGCATTCAATGAGCAAAAGTGAACTTGTACGCGAATTTATGCTTCTAGAGGAACGTGTAGAAAACATGGAAATTAAACTGAAAGAGTCTGAAGCTATAGGCAGCGTTTTTGCGAGGCGAATTTCTGTTGAAGAACTGTCTGGGGCTTTAAACGGTGACAGCAATTTAGACTTGAACAAGGCAGACTCGAAGACTCGAGAGGAAATATTGCTCGTAGAATTAAGCAGACTTCGGAAAGAAAATGAACGCTTACTAGCAGAAAACGAAGACATAAAGAAACGCTTTCAGAAATCTGTTTCACCTAAAGTCTCCTAATGTCCAGTTGGACGTATTTTGTGACGCTGTAGTTGATTTAAAGTTCCAATCCTGTACGCTACGAGGATTCCAGTGAGTGGCTGAAGTATGTACACACTAAAAAATAACAATCTGTGTTTGGCACAAGTTTCTAGTGTATGGTAGTGTAGACGCGATGTCGGAGTTTCCCAGCGAAGACACGGTTAATGTATTGCAAATAATTTAGCCAAGGATGTATTTTTTAAATAAAATTCATATGTAGTGATCTCGAGACTATTTTTTGTCGTGTCTCTGTTTACGTTCTGTGCGTTTCGTTATTATCATATCGCTCATTGCATTGTATAGCCAAGACTTGTCAAAATTGATGTATTATTCATCGGTCAAAGAATGGGAGTTAAAAATTGAGGCAACATTAGAATACTGTCCCTGCCAAAATTACAAAATCAGGGGTACAAGAATAGAAAATTACTTGATATCTCTCCGATGACCGTTTGCGTAGTCCGATATCCGTAAAACCACAAACGTGTTTAGAAGCGTGCAGATAAAATCGTCCCTTGAGAAGAGAACTTTCAATACAATCAAACTTGATTTAAACGCTTCTAGAAACAACAAAACTATCCCAGAGTTGGAACTACAAGAAAAATATTAAGCTTAAAATCGTGAGTTATACAAACATTACTGTGAAACGTGTAACTTTATCAATCAATCAATCAATGCACCCATATAAGGATATTAGCTGATTGTCATCAATTTGCCTTTAATTGCCACAGGTGTAATATTTCCTTTAATTGCTGACGTTAAGAAGCTGAAATAACTTTTTTTCTGGCATCAGATAATCACTGAAGAAGTGTAGCAGTATCAATTTAAATATACAGGGCTTTTTGCCTTTCTCCAAAGCTAGCAGCTTTCAGTCAGCTAGAGTGAAATTTCAAAACATCCAGTGTTTCCTTTGTTCCCAATGATACATGCAAATCAAATGTCACATATCACTCTTGAAATAAGAACCTCTTTTTTTGGAGCAAAAACTGACAATACAACCAAGGAACTGGATAAAAACACTTCTTTAAATCAATACTTGTGCAGCCATTATGAATTGTGTAGTTCCAGAAAATATCCTCCCCCACAGAAAGGATTTTTTACTAAGATCCCACCACCACTCTGGAAATTCAAACATTTCTTTACATTTTTGGTTGTATAGAGACCTAACCCCCATCCCCAGGAAATTTCAATCCCTTCTGTGGGTGGGGGGATATGGATATTTTCTGGAAATGCACAATTTTCCAGTAGAAATCTTGCCAAAGGCCAAAGTTTGTAGCACATGATTTGGGAGGTAAGGGGTGGGGGGCAGATGGTGTTGTGGAAGGGGGAAGATAAGGGATTCCAATGAATACTGTGGGTGATAAAGGTCATATTCAAACTTCCGAGTATTTTGATTGTTTTCAAAACTTGTGAGATGTTTCTGGGCACAACATTTTTCCAAAATGACCTGAAATATTGTTCAAATTCCAAGGATCATTCGAAGTCTCCCAATTTCAAATTCCAAGTCTCCCAATTTCAGAGAATTTCTTGAAATTACAGCCAAAGTTTTACATTCTCCTAATACAGCAGTTTAATGTGAGTCATCATTCCTTGTGCAAGTGACTACTATTTTACAGTTCGTACTTATGAAAATATGGAAAACACTATGTGCTATTCACATCCTCTGGCTAACTAACGACAAATAACAGGTTTAAGTGGCAGTCTAATTGAAGACATTCACCCAAATTCATAAAGCCAAGAGCTCAAGTGTATCTTTCCCTCTCAGTGTCTTCCAAGTGTTTTCACATATTTTTCCTCTTCTATGAAAGGTTCCCATAATTATTATTTTTATACACTTGCCAATTTACATAAATTCCATACCTGCTGGAGCAATATTAATATTTGGATCTAGGCCACTAAGTCTGTTCCTTCGGCTTGGTTTTTTGTGGCATAAAGAAGCCAGTAGCATTGCTACTAATTCTAGTAATTTCTTCTCTAAATTACAAGAAAACTAATGTGAACTGCAATAAAACAACAACAGACCAAATCCCATTGCATACAAGAAAGCTTTATTGTGTTACTTTATCAATGTTGTTTTTTTAAAAAATTTATCTTGTAGCTTGAACAACTATCTGATACTGCATGACATTAAAACCTTGTTCAATATAGAGAAATAACCTTCTTGGCATAGTGTTTAATTCACAAAAAGGCAAATTAAATATCTTAAAGAAAGAAACAAAGCCTACAAGGTAAGTGCAGTTGACATGTCCCTGGTAGAGTTTTCAGCAAATGAGATGTTCCATCTAAACTTTGTGTATTTTTACAGAATGGTAAGAATGGATAGAGCTTACTACTCGATAGCTATATCATAAGTACTTTGCCTATTTTGTCTACTATTTGCAAGACAAGTGAAGGTAATGCCTAGCATAACAACTTATATTAATGTCAGACTATCATACAAAAACATTACAGCTTCTACTATTTATTTAAGACTGTGAGATCCAGAGATACTGAACTTAAGTGGGTCAGTTTTCAATATCCAATTTCTCGATAACGTACAGTGTATAAATAACACGTCAGGTGTGAAGGTCATGAGACTAAGGAATGATCACCACATGGGAAATGTGTCTGTTTAAAGTCTTATTCTATCAGCTGGAGTCCATTAATTTCTTAATATTAGGGCTAAGATAGTTAAAATTTTTAAAACACAAGTATCAGACCACCTTTTAGTCACATATTATGAAGTGTGTGGGAATAGAAGTAATATTACTGTAGCACTACAAAGTATTATTTAGTTTAGTTGCACCTCTCCCCTCTTTCACTGTTGTCCTATTAACCTACTTCTGGTGGCTAGTGCTTTGCCACTGCATGCAAGACTACTTCTAATGACTTGAAGATTGCACTGAATCTGAGGAAGGAAGTGCTTTAATAATGGCTGGCAGTAACAATTATTGCTCAGGAGGGTCACGGTTTCCAAGAGATGATCGAAAACCCCCAAAATAGAAAGCAATTTGAACAATATCAACAGCTCAGAATAGAAAGGCTTTATAGGGTAAGTTCATTTCCAGGTTGAATACAATAGCAAGCTTGTGAGTGGTTTTTCATGTTTGAGTAAAACCATTATAGCTAAAACAACTGTCTTTGGCCTTTTCTTGCAATGTTTCCCAGTGCCTGTATGTCTTTCTGTGTAGTTCATGCTGCCATGATTTCAAACGTCAGTGCAATCATGAGCAGCAAATCATGGCTGGTCTTTCCTTCTGTTTTCTCCAACAATTCACTCTACCAGGAATGCACACCTTCACTTGTGTATTCATTTATCACTACTAATCACTGTCTTCATCACTTTCAACAATCTGTCGACTCTTTTTCTTCTTTCTCGGTGTGTTTCCATCTTCACTGCCAGTCCTCTTTCTTCCTTCATGTGCATCATCTTCAATGCCTTCCTTTGCATTCAACAGTCTCTCTTTTCCTTCCTCATCTTCATCACTGTCTAATCCTCCTGCTCCGTCACTTTCTTCAGCTTCATCCGATTCACTTGCAAATCCTACAACACAACACAAATGTTCGAGCAATTTGATGTTCACACCTCCCTCTTTAAGCCTCAAATATAAGAAAATACCCCCTCCAATTGTCACTCACGGGGCCCCTTTTTAAAGAAAGAAAGTATCCATTTTCATTTCAATCCTGCNCATTCTGATTATGAATCACCCTGACTAGAAATCATTTAAGGTGTCTTTCTCAGGCAAGGATAGTATTCTCAATGGCACCTTTTGCAAGCTCAAGACATACAGTCATGGGTGCTGATGGGTAACAAGTCATCACAACAATCAGTTACAGCTGCACAAATACTCAAATGTGGATAGCCTCCAAACACTTCTACCTCTCATTATTCCCAGTCACTCTGTCATTCACTAGGGAGAGCAAAATCATTTCACATCTCTGATCAGATTCTGGACAGATCTATGATCCACAAGCATGGAATTTTGGTTGGAAATCCCAGATGCAAATACCAAAAGCATTCAGAAGCCACAGGCTAAACACTTAGAAGGCTGAAAACTAATCAGCCTGACCTCAGTCAGCTACACGAATATATACATACCTTGGCTTTTTTGCTCATAGATGCACATTCAAACTATACGTACCTTTAGTTTTAGCCTGGCTCTGCCTTCTTCATCTAACACTTCATCTTCTTCCATCTCGTCTTCATACAATGCAGGATCAAATGGTTTGCGTTCAATGCTCAAAAAGTTTGGCATCTTCACAAAATACAACTCGGAACCCAAAGAGAATTGAGAGTACGGGATCGTGACGTCAATTCTTGTCTCTTCCTCTTCTTCTTCACCCTGTTCTGGGGGAACTTCTTCACCTTCACCAACTTGTTCCCTTTCTTCAGGCTCTGGAGTTTTTTCAACTTCTTTCTCTCGCTAAAAGAAATGATAAAAATACTGACATTAAGCACTATGCCTTTCGTTAAACATCAACTTTCAAACATTCTTGAGATCACTCCACATATATATACCACTACTTGTGAGAATGGATATTGCAAGGATGGTTTTGGCTCAAATTACAAACAACATTTTATATCAGTAACCCCTAAGCTCTTGTAACTATGTTCTTAAAAATATAAGAGAGATAAAAGAGTTAACAGTGCATCTGCATGCCCAACTGTAGCTTAAAATAATTCTGACCTGTTCTTCATCTGATGATAATTCTTCATCATCTCCAAATAAATCTGCAGAAGACAGCTGGCTTTGGAGTTTTGGTTTCCTCACTTCCTTCTGTATACAAAATTAAAAGTATATTTAATTTGATTTTAAAAACCTTAGAAGGCTAAAGTTACAGTAGACACTTCAGAGCCTCTAGCAAACTTAGCTCAAAACTTTGTCTAGTATCTCAAACTGCAAACTGTTTCTTTTGTTTGATTTTGTTTTGCAAGTAAAATTTATTTAGCATGGATTACCTGAACCTCAGGCTTTCTCACACAACTTTATATGTCTTAAGTGCTTAAGATTATGCAAACTGGGCAGCTTGAAAGAAGCAGTAATAATAATCACAATCATAATCACATTATAAATAATAATAATGTTAATAATAATAACAATAATCATATTCATAATCATAATCACAATCATAATCATAACCATAATAATAATAATAATAATAATAATAATAATAATAGTAATATATAATACAGTGTATATAATATTGGTGCAATTTAAGGAATCTAGCATCAGAACCACACGCCAGTCAGCAGTAAGCATTTCTGCTTGTAGAAACAAGAAAGACCACTGTAAGATCAAGTCACCATTCCAGCCCAGTTACCATCAGGCCAGCAATTTTCTCCAATCCCACTAACTTTCAGTGACCAGGAACATTTCCAATACTCCTTGCATGAGATGCTAGTCCATAACGGGGTTACTTCCTAGCATTATATCTGCTGACACACCCATTTGCACACCTAAATGGAGGGGGCCAGGGTGCATTCCGCAAGACTTCCACGCCAAAGATACGCAAAGGCTTTTTAAATTCCATGCCTTGTGCCTGGCAAGAAGCCAAAGTCCCACCCTGAAGAATGCTATTTTAAAAACGCCAACCCAACGTGGGTGGGAAAATTTGGACTCAAATGGATCGTATCCCATTATCACCCAGGATATGGGGGATAAAGAGAAGTTAAAACGGCATAGTTATCAGGCCAATTCACCTTTTGTAGTTAAGCATTTATATGCCAGCAACAGCAAATGTGAATGTGCACCTGGCTGTAAGCCAAAAACTCTAATCACACGCCAATCTAAACCGTCAGTATAGCCAGGGATTTTGTGACATGTTCAGCTGCATTGCAAAAATATAAAGGCCACACTGGAGATCTTCAGTGTAAC